AATGAATATTCAATAAAAATTACATTTGAAGAATATTTTTGTTTTATAGCCTCACTGTTTGGCCTATATTTTGGATTTTCATTAATTATGTTTAAAGATATTAATGATTATTGTTATAAATTAGTCAATTATTTTCAAAATTTATATAAATTAATAATAAATGTTAAAAATTATAATTTTAAATTTGAGCAAACAATTAATATACAGCCAAACACAAAACTATTTACACAAGTTAGAAATATGAGTCAATTAATGAAATAGTAATTATAATAATATTATCATAATATTAAGTAAAAAAAATTATTTATTTTTTAAACAGTTGAAATTTTTGCTACAATTATATTTTTAATTATTAGCTATTAGCTAGATAATAATAATAATAATTATTATTATTGTATACTTTAGACAGTATACATATAATTAATATAAATATTATTTTTTAAATAAATGAGTTTATTAATTACAACAATAAAATGTATATAATGTTATATTTAACTATTTTAATATATATATATATATATATATATATATTACATATTTTATTTATCAATATATTTTCTAAATGTTATTATTTTTTAATTTTATAGTATAAAATAATATATAGATAACAATTATCAATTTCATACAATATAAAAAAAACTTATAGATATAAATATAAATGTTAGTAAAATAATCTAATAATTATATCATTTATAAGTGCAATAATAGTTTTAAAAGCTGATAAATAATTATTTCTGAGAAATTTTATTATTATTTATTTTTTTAATAATATTGATTATTCTATGATATAAAAAAAATTAAAATTAATTTAGATTAAACTTTGAACGTTAAATATGGTCAAAAAAATAATTAATTATCTAAAAAAAATTAAAATTATAGTATTAAAAAACAAACAAAATTGATTACAATTAATTATTAAGTACAGTATAAATAATATAAAATAATAATTATAAATCAAATATATCATATATCATAGATATAAAAACATCAATAGTTTTCAAAATCATATCAGCACTTAAATTAATACTTAAACTTTGAAATTATAATTTAAAAATTTTTTTTATATAAATAAGGTTCAAAAAAATTATATTAAAAACTATAATAATTTTAGATTATTTGTTTGTTTTTTTCTAAAAAAAATAAATAAATACTAAACACACAAAATGTTTAATAATTATTACTTTATATTTTTGACTGCTGTTATTTACATTATCAATTGTAATAACTTTATAAATACAACTCCTATTAACAATAATAGTCAACAAAATAATGTATAAATCTATTTATTTATTTATTTTTTGTTAAAATCATTTAAATTATTTTTGTTATAGTTAACTAAAAAAAAAATTATTTTTTTTTAATAATATAAACTAATTATTATTTTAATATATTTTTTTTTTCGTTTCTATGATAATATAGCAATCAATTGACTTTTCCGATAGTTATATACATGTATGCGGCGGTTGGGATGGATCTAACTATCACTCAGAGTGTTATAGATATAATACACACACAACCTGGCAGTCCATGCCATCCCTGACCCTACCCAGGGATGACTATAGTTTAGTTACTTACGATAAAAAATTGTTTGCAATCGGCGGCTATAATGTATGTGACATAAAAAATAATTAATTAATTAATATTCAATAAGCATTAATAAACTGTTTTTTATTTCAAATATATATATATATAACTTAAGGGTAATTATTTGAATAGCGTTGAATCGTACGATACGCAAACAAATCAATGGAAACCAATTGCATCGATGAATATATTACGCCAGTATATCAATATATATATATATATAAAATAATAATTAAAATTATTATTGATTAAATGTATCTTGTACAATTTAATATATAATCTAGTTACCATGATGCAGCTGTACTTGACAATACAATTTATGTATGCGGTGGTGAAAATGGTAATTACATTGTATATATATACATACTCTACCCTAACCCCCCATCCTTTAGCAACCCTGATATATATATATATATATCTTTATATATATACCTTTATATATATACATTTATATACATATACCTTTATATATATATACCTTTATATACATATACCTTTATATATATATATATATATATAGGTATATATTACACAGTATATAACTATTATATTAATTAAAAATTATATATTATATTATTTTATATATATATATTAAAATACTATTAAAATTATTATAATAATTGTTTTTTTTAAACTGTTTAACAATTTTAGGTAATAATGTTTTCAAATCGTGTGAATATTATTATAAGGCTATCGATGAATGGCATTTTGCGACCGCAATGTCAATGGAAAGGCGTGGTCTGGCACTGGTAGCCCATGAAGGCTATATGTATGCTATTGGGGGTAAAAATTTGAATGAATATACAAATACAATGGAAAGGTATGATACAGTTAAACAACAATGGCAACCAATGAGTAATATGAAATATACTAGGTTAGTTATAATTTACCAATTATACATACATATAATTAAAATTAACAAAAAATATATATATATGTAGAAACTATTATTTTACTCAATTTATTGTAGAAATAAATTCGCATATAATTATGAAAACATTTTATCAAATTAAATTTATAATTATAATCTATTATTTTTTTAAAAAAAAGTAAACTAGATTCTAGTTTAATAGTTTTATATAATTTAAATTTTTTTTTGTTGGTATAATTTATTTTATTTATTTATTTATTTTTTGATAAAATTATTTTATTGTTTTTTTAAAAAAAATAGAGGCTATTTTGGTTCAGCATCATTTTTGGATAAAATATATGTTTGCGGCGGTTGGGGTACTAGTGATTGGAAATCATGCGAAACATATGATCCGCTAACAAATCAATGGACACAAATTGGTATTATTTTTTTTTTTTAAAAAATATTTTAATTATTTAATTTTTTTTGGAAAAATTTAATTATTTTATTGTTAATAATTATACAGTAATATTAATTGTTATTTTTTTTTAAAAAAAATTTAATTATATTAATAGCATCCATGCTATTAGATAGAAGTGATTTTAAATTGATTGCATTTGATGATAAATTGTATGCATTGGGTGGCCTAACAATGGGTATATTTATTTAGTTATTTTTTTAATTTAATTTAATTTAAGTTAAGTTAAATCAATCATTATAAATATATTTAAATTTTAAATTAGCAACAAAATAAATATTTTATTGAAATTTTTTTTTAACTATATGATAATTAATTATTTTATATATTTATTTATTTAAATATAATATATAAAGTTAGTCATGAAATTATTTTAGTCTAATATTACTATAAGTACTATCAATAGTTTTTTTTAATTTTATAATACAAACATTTTAGTATAACATTGTTATTGAAAATATTTTCTACAATTTTATACAATATATATATATATATATTATATCATAATAGGTGGTCAACAAACAGATACGGTTGAAATATATGATTATAAAGCAAATCAATGGTCATATACAACATCATTGCCAAAACCATTAGAAATGTTTGGGGTAATTGTTTTAAAATAATAATAATAATAATAATAAAATTAATATATTTTTATTATAACTAATTATAATTATTTTTTGTTAAAAATTACTTAATTTATTTCACCAGGCATCTGTTATTACATATTTGTGAAAAACAACAACAAATATATTGCATATATTTTAATGAATATATAATTTGTATACATAACAAAAATCTTGTATCTAATAAAATATTATTTTTTAATTGAATAATAATAATAATAATAAAATATTAATTGATTGTTGAAATTCAAAACTGTCTAATTGTAATATTATTTATTTTTAAAAATTAAAACAACTATTTACATTATATAGATTTATAATAATAATTGAATTTTTTTAATATATAAATTATTTTTAAAACAAATATAATAAAATCTAAATTTATTTAGTATTTTTGATATAGTTAATAAAATTATAGTTATTAAGTATTATAATTATTATTAACATTTTATGTGATTTATTTAAACTAAATTTGTAAAAAATAATATTTATGATACTAACATTTTAATAGTAAAAATATACTGTAATTAATATACTGTATAATTTTTTTAATAAATCAATTAATTTATTATTAATTATATTGATAATAATAGTACAGTACATTGTTATACTGTACTATTAAAAAAAAATATTTATCTATTTTTATATATTTATCTATAGTGTACTTATTTTTAATTTTATACTAATAATTGTCATTTTTTACAAAATTTTCCAAGATAGATTATATATATATATATTTTTAAGTAATTAAGATTATAATTATCTATAATTTTAATCATTTATATTTGCAATAGTTGTTTTGAAATTGATAAATATATTATTTTTTTAAATAATGATTTTTTAAACAAAAATAATTAATATTATTTAGCTTAACCTATAAATTAAATAAAGTTAAATAATTTAATTATCAACAATTAAAAAATAAATTAATTAAATGTAACAACAAACATAATATTAATTATTATAATTCAAAATTATTATGAAATAAAAATTTGTTATCAAATAATAACATTAATAGTTTTTATAAATCATATCAGTATACTTTAATTAACACTTAAACTTTGAAATTATAATTTTTTTTTAATATTTTTATATAAATAAGCTAAAAAAAATTATCTAAAAAATACTTATTGTTAAAAGATAGATTTTAATTATTTTAGACTATTTGTTGTTTTTTAAAAAAAAATAAATTCAAAAAAACAAAACAAAAATGTTTAACAATTATTACTTAATATTTTTAATTGCTGTATTAATTTACATTATAAATTGTATTAATTTTATAAATACAACTCCTATTAATAATAATAATAATAATAATAGTAAACAAAATAATGTAAATCTATAACAAACAAACAAAAATTATAAAATATTTTTTTTTAGTTAATTAATAAAAAAAAATTTTTTAATATATAAACTAATTATTATATTATTTGTTTTTAAAAATTAATTTATTAGCAATCAATTGACTTATCGGACAGTTATATCCATATATGCGGTGGTGTCGATGGATCTACTTATTACTCGGACTGTTATAGATATAATACACATCAAAATGTTTGGCAATCAATACAATCCATGTCCACACCGAGGGATGACTTTAGTCTGGTTTCAATTGATTCAAAATTATATGCAATCGGCGGCAGTAATAATGTATGTTATAAATATTACTTACCGTAAAATTGTGTTTTATTTCACATATGGAATTTTTTTTTAAATGTAAACTAACATTTTCATATGAGAAAAAAACTCGCATTTTTTACCATCCCTGGTAATAATTAAGCATAAAAAATTAGTATACAAAGTAAAAAACTATATATTTTTTATATGGTAAAAAACTCGCATTTTTTACCACCCCCTGGTAATAATTAAGCATAAAAATTATTATACAAAGTAAAAAACTATATATTTTTTATATGGTAAAAAACTCGCATTTTTTACCACCCCTGGTAATAATTAAGCATAAAAATTATTATACAAAGTAAAAAAAACTATATTTTTTATATGGTAAAAAACTCGCATTTTTACCACCCCTTGGTAATAATTAAGCATAAAAATTATTATACAAAGTAAAAAAAACTATATTTTTTATATGGTAAAAAACTCGCATTTTTTACCACCCCTTGGTAATAATTAAGCATAAAAATTATTATACAAAGTAAAAAACTATATATTTTTTATATGAGAGAAAACTGCCATTATTTCCAATAAACTTTGAAACTTTCCATAATGGGAAATAAAACACAATTTAACGGTACACTATTATTTTTTTATAAAAAAATAATAATTGTAAAAAATTAATTTTTTTAAATAAAATAAAATAGGGTAAACATTTCAATAGTGTTGAATCATATGATCAACAAACAAATCAATGGAAATCAATTGCATCGATGAATATAATACGACAGTAATTATATCTATTTTTTTAATAAAATATTTGTTTTTTAAAAAGTTTATTATTAAAATTTTTTTTATATATATATATATATATATGCAAAAAAAAGTTACCATGATGCAGCTGTACTTGATAATACAATCTATGTATGCGGTGGTGACAATGGTAATTATATAATTTTATATTTAATACTATGATGTTAATTTATTAAAAAAAATTATTATTATTATAATAATTGTTTATATTAGTTTTTAAAAATAGCATATTTAATATATATATATATATATAATTTACAATTTTCTATATATATATATATATATTTTTTTTTAAAGGTAATACTGATTTAAAATCGTGTGAATATTATTATAAGGCTATCGATGAATGGCATTTTGCGACCGCAATGTCTACGATAAGGCGTGGTCTGGCACTGGTAGCTCATGAAGGCTATATGTATGCTATTGGAGGTAAAAATGGTTTATTTGGTGAATATGTAAATACAATGGAAAGATATGATACAGTTAGTCAACAATGGCAACCAATGGCTAATATGAAATATACTAGGTTAGTTTCATATATATTTTTTTCAATTATAATCATACATATAATTAAAATTATTAAAAAAATATATATGTATAAAACTTTTTTTATTTACTCAATTTACTGTAGAAAAAAATTCAATATAATTATGAAAACAGTTTATGAATTAAATTTATAATTATAATCTATTATTAATAAGTAAACTAGACCATAGTTTTAATAATTTAATATGATTTTTAATATTTTTAATACTAGGTTAGTTTATTTTTAATATACAGATAGTGTTTTAATTAAAAAAAAAAGTTTAAATTTTTTAGTAATATCATGTACAGTTAACTATTCACGCTAAGCAAGGTAACTTAGTATACAATTAGTTAATATATTAGGTAAGTTTTAAATACAGTACTTTGCTAACTCATTACATAATATTTTATCAAATTTAAACTATTAACTGGCATGGACTGTATATCTTATATAAAAACTTATATAAATATATCTTGCTTAATTTATTACAGTAAATAAAAAATTATACAGTTATATGTTTTGATATATGTAACAATAGTATTGAAATAATAGTCTATTAAATTTTAATTTATAATCTATACATTTTCTATAATATATTTATAGAATATATAATCAAAAAAAAAATTATAAGTAATCAAAATAAAAAACATTATTAAACTACAATAAAATCTAGTTTAAAAATTATTTTTTTTTATATATTGTCAATAATTGACAATAATAAATTTTATTTTGTTAAAATTTTATTTGTTAAAATATAAAAAGAGGCTATTTTGGTTCAGCATCATTTTTGGATAAAATATATGTTTGCGGCGGTTCGGGTACTAGTGATTGGAAATCATGCGAAACATATGATCCGCTAACAAATCAATGGACACCAATTGGTTTGTTTATTTTTAAGAAACATATTGTTTTTTATTTTATTTTTATTGTTTAAATCATTTAATTGATAAGTTTATACAGTAATATTATTTTTATTAATTATTTGTTAATTATTTATTAAATAATATTTATAGCATCCATGCAATTGGATAGAAATGATTTTAAATTGATAGCATTTGATGATAAATTGTATGCATTGGGTGGACAAACAACAGGTTTTTATTTTAAATTATAATAATTATTTTATTAATAACATATATAGGTATATATATATAAGTTTTATTATTTTAAGTTAAAATAAATATTTAATTAACAATTAATTATAACTAACATATATATATATATATATATATATATATATATATTATATACTGAGTATCTATTTAATTTTTAATTAGTATAAATGATATTAAAAATTATAATTATAAACTAATTAAATAATTAGTTGAATTTAGTTAGGTAAAAACGTTTATAGATTTTTTTTAAAAAAAACTATTTTTCACAATTATATAATACAACAATTTTTTTAAAAAAAAAAATATTTTTTTATGTAGATGGTCAACTAACGGATACGGTTGAAATATATGATTATAAATCAAATCAATGGTCATATACTAAATCATTGCCAAAAAAGTTACAAATGTTTGGGGTATATAAAGTTTTTATTTTTATATCAAAACAAAATAATTTTATTAATATAATTTTACATTTTGCATCCTAGGCATCTGTTATAACATATTTGTAACATAAAAAATATTGCATATTTTTAATTTTGAGTAATATAACTTGTATACCATAAAAAAAAAATCTTGTATCTGATAAAATATTATTTTTAATGAATTATAATAAAAATATTAATTGATTGTTGAAATTTGAAAACTGTTTCAATTGTAATATAATTATAATTTTGATTAATAGTTAATTTTATGTATTAAAATTTAAACTATTATTTCAATTATACACATTTATCTTACTTGATTATTCAAAAAAAAAAAATTTAATATATAAATTATTTTCGAAATAAATATAATAAAATATAATTAATTATTTAGTATTTTTGATATAGTTAATAAAACAAAAGTTATTTATAATAAATATTATTAACATTTTATGTGATTTATTAAAACTAAATTTGTTAAATAATATTTATGATACTAACATTTTAATAGATAGTAAAAATACAATTAATCTATTTTTTTTTTTAATAAATTTAACTCGTAATATAAATATATTTATATATATATTTTACACGATATATTATTTATAATTAATTAGTTTAGTAATTAGTAATTTATAAAATTTACAAAATAAATTGATAAATAAAATAGTTTTTTTTAATATAATTATCAAATAATAGTAAAAAACAAAATTCAATTTTAAAAAAATATTATTTTTAAAAAAAATTAAGTTTGTTTATACATTTTTAATTTTTTTTTTATAAATTTTATGTATTTGTATGTATTATTGCTTTAAATTAAATTAAATTAAAAAAACATTTAAAAAAATTATATTTTTAAAGATTATTAGTTCATAAAATTATTATAACGATCGCAGCCTAAACTGTACCGACAGTTACCGCCAACCATATAAAGTAGACCATTGATGAACTGTCGGGCACCGGGACTTAACGGTAACGACTGTCGGCCACCGGTTTCCCAATCGATAACTAGTTTTAGGATTTCTGACTCCAATTGTTCAATACGTCTAATAATGTTTGTCTGCGACTCTAGTATTGAACACTTGTGTTTAACAGCAGTTATGGCCACAGTGTTGGCCATTTGCGGCAATATATGGCTATCATTATTGTAATCATTATGAATGAATGAGCTACCGGTGCCCGTAGTTAGAGATTGTTGTCCAATGTTGGCCATTATCTCTTTTTCAAACGAAAACAAATCGTTAACTAATATAATCTGGTCGGTTGCCAATTGAATCAATGTTTGCATACGCGGGTCCAACCAGTCGGGCTCCGGTAGTTCAAACTTGTAGGCATACTCCAGGGTTAGTGTAGTTGGTATTACACCAGCAGTTTTGTTAGTGTAGTTGGTATTACACCAGCAGTTTTGCGGCGATTCTAATAATTATAATAATATATATTAAGTACAGTAAGTACAGTATGTGTATGTGTATGTGTATGTGTATGTGTATGTGTATATGTATGTGTATGTGTATGTGTATGTGTATGTGTATGTGTATGTGTATGTGTATGTGTATGTGTATGTGTATGTGTATGTGTATGTGTATGTGTATGTGTATGTATATGTATATGTATATGTATATGTATATGTATATGTATATGTATATGTATATGTATATGTATATGTATATGTATATGTATATGTATATGTATATGTATATGTATATGTATATGTATATGTATATGTATATGTATATGTGTATGTGTATGTGTATGTATATGTATATGTATATGTATATGTATATGTATATGTATATGTATATGTATATGTATATGTATATGTGTATGTGTATGTGTATGTGTATGTATATGTGTATGTGTATGTGTATGTGTATGTGTATGTGTATGTGTATGTGTATGTGTATGTATGTGTATGTATATGTGTATGTGTTATCTAATACTAACTTTTAGCAATTGATCCAGAGAAGCGAACCGTTGATTTTTGGCCTCATTTTGTTCAATATTACCGTTCACGTAGTCCAACCAGGTATCGACAAAACGCGACCACTGTTGGCCATTGAATGACCGATAAATGTCCGTAAATGTTGGCTGTATTTCCCGAACATATGACTCCATACGGTCTCCCTCGCCGCCACCACCGCCGCTACTGATATCGGCAAATAGTTTGGCCACTTGTGACCAAACTCGGCGACATTCGTCCATATTATTGTTGTTCAATGGACCGGACGGTTCATCAGTTTTGTCGTCCATTATATAATAGTAGATCATATGCTGTAACATATGATAATACCTGTCCCTATCCAGACATTTAGGATAGTAATAGGCTGTACACAGTTTGGCTGTAAAAACTTGTTTCATATATTTATTAACTGATATATGACTGGTCGGGAACTGTCGGTATAGCCAACGGTTTAGTTCATCGCCGCCGACAGTAATGTCCAGCGGATTACGTTTGAACGGCAATCGGGTGGTCAGCTTAGGTATCGGATATCTGACCGGATAGTGGCGTAACTTAATGTCGCAAATGTTGTCGCAAACTTGTATTATATTATTTATATTTATATTATTATTATTTGTCATAATTTTTATAATATATTTTTTACTATTTTTTAATATCCTAATTATATTACTATAGTTAAACTATATATATATATAACTGTTTAACTATTAATAAATTATATATAAAAGTTATATACACTGTATATAAAGTACAGTAGAAAAAGTTAATGTAACAAAATTACTAATTAATTATTATTATTAAAAATTATTACAAATTATTACAAATTATTACAAACAAACAAACAAAATAATAAATGTCTACAAAAATTAATTAATAATATGTTTGTTATGCAATAAATATATATTTTGTAACTTATTTTTTCCGTTATATAAACAGATGGTCACTGATTTTTTAATATTAAACAACAAAAAAATTAGTAACAAAAATACTTGACACGGTTATTTGTGTAATAACTTTTTTTTTAAAAAAAATTAATTAAAAGTTTCAATAAATTTAATACTAAATTTTTTCAAGTACTATGGAATCATGTTAGGATTTTATTAGCATAGATATGGTCTAAAAAATAAAAGTGTCAAGATATTTTTTAAATGAGATTAATATTACTATTATTGGTTATTTTTATAAATAATAATTTAATTATTTGCTATTATTAATTAGGATCTTTAGTTTTTTTTAATTATTAAATAAAAAACATTTTCACTAATTATTGTAATATACTGTAATATATAATTTTGTAAAATTTTAATAATAATTGTTACTAAATTTATATAATAGAAAAAATGTTTTTTATTAATATTTTTTTTTTAAAAAAACAAGATCTTAATTAAAAATTGCACCTAGACTTTTTAAATTATATTTATAAACAACATAATAATAATTGATCTCATAACATAATTACCTTGGCATTTTTATTTTAGGGCCATATATAAAGTATTACAATATTAAATATTTTAGTATTTTTTAGAGATATCAAACATCCCTGACCCCGCACCCATCCTCCTACCGGAGCCGTAATATACCAAATGTACTAATGCTTTAACATGTAAAATGTATTATTTTATTACTATATTAAAGTTATAGCCATACAAAAAACCCGTGCCAGACACTTTTGTCTTACATTTTATAAATCGATGAAATTATATCTACTTTTTTTTTATTTATTATTAAATAAAACTATTTCAAAAATACTAAAATTATGTTTTGTATTTATTATATATTAATTTTTTTATATGTGTGTACATTAGTTATCATTAAGTTTTCCTGAAAAGTTTATCATAGATTATATTTTAAATTATAATATATGTATATAAATAAAATAATACTATTTATAATAATAATTTTATTTATTTTTAATAATTTTTGAAATTATTACACTTATGATACATACATCTATAAAACTACATGTATATTAAAATAAAATGTACATACAATATGTTTTTTTTTGTTATTAAAATGTTGTTAATTAATTTTTTTTAAATATTTTTTTTTTTTGAAAAACAAATTTTGAAAAATCTAATAGTAATATATAATTAAATATTTTTTATTTTTCAAACAAAAAATCTTATCAAAAAAAAAATTAATAGAATTACATTAGTTTGATAATTATTTAACTATTATAATAAAAAATTAATTATTTAATTATTTATAATTACAAATTCCAGTGTATTATATATAATATATCAATTTTAATACATTAAACTTATAATAAAAATTTAATTATATATATACTGTATATATAATAGTTATATTTATTAATACACTTTAATTTCTGTAATTAATTAATTAATAAAAAAAAATTGTTTCTAAAATTATTTCTTAAATTTATTATAACGATCGCAACCAATATTAAACATATAGTTACCGCCGGCCATATAAAGTAGACCATTGATAAACTGACGGGCACCGGGACTTAACGGTAACGACTGGTGGTGGTGGCCACCGGTTTCCCAATTGATAACCAGTTTTAGGATTTCTGACTCTAATTGTTCAATAGTATCGTAAAATTGTGTTTTATTTCCCATATGGAATTCAAACAAAAAAATCATTTACATATGGTTAAAAAAACTCGCATTTTTACTACCCATGCTAATAATTAAGCATAAAAATTATTATACAAAGTAAAAAACTATATATTTTTTATATGGTAAAAAACTTGCATTTTTTACCACCCCCTGGTAATAATTAAGCATAAAAATTATTATACAATTTAAAAATAAAACTATATTTTTCATATGAGAGAAAACTGCCATTATTTCCAATAAACTTTGAAACTTTCCATAATGGGAAATAAAACACAATTTAACGGTACACTATTATTTTTTTATAAAAAAATAATAATTGTAAAAAATTAATTTTTTTTATTAAATAAAATAAAATAGGGTAAACATTTCAATAGTGTTGAATCATATGATCAACAAACAAATCAATGGAAATCAATTGCATCGATGAATATAATACGACAGTAATTATATCTATTTTTTAATAAAATATATGTTTTTTAAAAAGTTTATTATTAAATAATAATTATTATTAACATTTTATGTGATTTATTAAAACTAAATTTGTTAAATAATATTTATGATACTAGCATTTTAATAGATAGTAAAAATACAATTAATCTATTTTTTAAAATAAATCAATTAATTTATTATTAATTATATTGATACAGTAATAATAGTACAGTACATTGTTATACTGTACTATTAAAAAAAATATTAATTTAATTTTATATATTTATCTATAGTGTACTTATTTTTAATTTTATACTAATAATTTTCATATTATCAATTTAATAAAATATCAAATATAAAGTTAGTTAAATAATATTTTTACAAATTTTTCTTAGACTATATATATATTTTTAAGTAATTAAGATTATATTATTAATATATTAAGATAATTATAATCATTTATAATTGCAATAGTTGTTTTGAAATTGATAAATATTAATTTTTTTTAATAATAATTATTCTAAACAAAAATAATAAATATTATTTAGCTTAAACTATAAAGTAAATAAAGTCAAAATCTTAATTTTCAAAAATTAAAAAATAAAATAAAAATTTAATAACCAACAAAATTAATTATTATAATGAAAATTATTATGAAATAAAAAATTTTTATCAAATAATGTTTATATAACAACATTTTAATAATTTTTATAAATCATATCAGTATACTTTAATTGACACTTAAACTTTGAAATTATAATTTTTTAAATATTTTTATATAAATAAGCTAAAAATAATTTGTAAAAAATTTGCAAAAATTGCAAAAAATTTATTATAGTTAAAACATAGATTTTAATGATTTTAGATTAATTGTTTAAAAAAATAAATTCAAAAAAACAAAACAAAAATGTTTAACAATTATTACTTAATATTTTTAATTGCTGTTTTAATTAACATTATAAATTGTATTAATTTTATAAATACAACTCCTATTAATAATAATAATAGTAAACAAAATAATGTAAATCTATAACTAACAAACTATAAAATAAATTTTTTTAGTTAACTAATTTAAAAAAAATTTTTATATATAAACTAATTATTATATTATTATATTTTCAAAATTTATTTATTAGCAGACAATTGACTTATCGGACAGTTATATCCATATATGCGGTGGTGTCGATGGATCTACTTATTACTCGGACTGTTATAGATATAATACACATCAAAATGTTTGGCAATCAATACAATCCATGTCCACACCGAGGGATGACTTTAGTCTGGTTTCATACAATAGAAAATTGTATGCAATCGGCGGCAGTAATGTATGTATTAAATTTAAAAAAAATTATGACAAAAATTACTGGTTTTTTAATTTTATTTTTTTTAAATATTTTGTTATATAATAATAATTTCGTTATAAATATATTTTTAATTATTTTTTATATTAAAGGGTAAATTTTTGAATAGCGTTGAAACATATGATACACAAACAACTAACTGGAAATCTATAGCATCAATGAATATTATACGACAGTATAAATATTATATATATATATATACCTGTAATTATAAACTAAATATATATATATTATATAGTATATTTTTATTAAATTATTTATTTAAAATTTTGTTTTTTTTGAAAGCTACCATGATGCAACTGTACTTGATAATACAATTTATGTATGCGGTGGAGAAAATGGTAATAATAATATTATTATTATTATTGATATATATATATATATATATATATATATATATATATTGTTGTATATATAAATATATTGTTATATATATAAATATATTGTTACATACATAAATATATTGTTATATATATAAATATATTGTTATATATATAAATATATTGTTATATATATAAATAAATTGTTATATATATAAATATATTGTTATATATATAAATATATTGTTATATATATAAATATATTGTTATATATATAATGTATTATTTATATTTATACAGTATATTCGATATACTATACTATTATCTTAATATTATTTTAATTATATAGTAATTTTCTGTTAAATTATTATTTTAAAAATAGGAAATGTTGTTTTCAAATCGTGTGAATATTATTTTAAAGCTATCGATGAATGGCATTTTGTAACCGCTATGTCAATGGAAAGGCGTGGTCTGGCACTGGTAGCACACGAAGGCTATATGTATGCTATTGGGGGTGAAAATGGGGCTGAATATACAAATACAATGGAAAGGTATGATACTGTAAAACAACAATGGCAACCAATGGGAAATATGAAATATACTAGGTTAGTAATTATTTTTTTTTTTAATATATATATATATATATATAATTAGGATGTCGATTTTTATAAATAATAATAAATTTATTATAGATTTAACTTAATAAACAAAAAAAAAACATTTATATAGTTAAGTTAAGTCATCAAATTTTATTTATTATAATAACATAATTTAAAATAACTGTATTATAAATCACTATCAAATCATTTTATATATAAAAAAAACTACTTATTTTATATAATAATGTTTTATATAATAATTTATGAAATAATTGTAATTAACAAGAATAATTATTATAAATCAATCTTGTTAATTCTAATTAAATATTTATTTGTAATTTATATATATATATATAAATAGAGGATATTTTGGTTCAGCATCATATTTGGATAAAATATATGTTTGCGGCGGTTCGGGTAATAGTGATTGGAAATCATGCGAAACATATGATCCGCTAACAAATCAATGGACACCAATTGGTTGAGTTGTTATTATTATTATTATTGATTTAGAAAAATATTTTTTTAAATAATAATAATWATTATTATTATTATTATTTTAAAATAGCATCAATGTTATTAGACAGATCTGGTTTTAAATTGATTGCATTTGATGACAAATTTGATGCATTGGGTGGACGAACTATAGGTACTTTAATTTTTTTTTTTAAATAAATAATAATAATTTAAGTCAATATATTATTAAGCAATAATTATTATAATAATTTTTTTATACTGTATAAATATTATATAAGTTAAATGATTCTGGAAATTAAAAAAAAAAATTTAACTATTTTTTTTTATAATATTTAAATTATTAAAATATATTAGATGGTCATATAACTGATACGGTTGAATTATATGATTTTAAATCAAATCAATGGGCCATGGTAACTTCATTGCCTAAACAAATGGAAATGTTTGGGGTAAAATTAATTTTTATATATAATTTTTATAATATATAAATTTTCAATTAATTAGTATAATTTTTTTTTTAAAAAATTTCTAGGCATCTATTATAACATATTTATAAATTTAAATTGTATACCCAAATTATAATTGTTTAAGATTAATTCAGATAATTGTATTAAAAATAATAATATTAATTAATTATAAATTTTTTTTAAAAAATTTAATATATTTATAATAATACTATCTACTATTAATAATTGTTAATTTAAATATTATAGTAAAATTTATTTTTTAAAAATTTATATATGCTTTTTAATAATAATAATAATAATTTATATAAATATATTTTTATTTATTATAACAATTTTATTTTGTTGATTTAAATATATTCTAATAAATAATAAATATTTATGTATGTACAATTTGTACAATGTTTTTTTTTATTATTTAAAATTGATTTAAAAAATATTTGTTTAATTAAAATATCTATAAAAATTATTATATCAATTTTAAAACCGTATTATAGTATTTGTAAGTTTTTTAAATAAATATACAGTATTTAACCAGTAATATAAATAAAAATCATAAATATTTTACACGATATATTATTTTTAATTAATTAATTTATTAATTAGTAATTTAAAATTTACAAAATAATAAATAGATAAATAAAATTGTTTTTTTCTTATAAATATTCAATATAATTATCAAATAATAACAAAACAAAATTCAATTTAAAAAAAACTAATATTTTTTATAAATTTATATTAATTTTACAGTTAATTTAGAAAAACATTTATGATTAATAAAAAAAAATTTAAAACTAAATTTAATTTATGTACACATTTTTATCTGTGTGTATATCCAGTTAGTTATTATTACTTAAACTAAATTAAACTAAATTAAACTAAATTAAACTAAATTAAACTAATTTAAACTAATTTAAGCTAAATTAAACTAAATTAAACTAAATTAAACTAAATTAAACTAAATTAAACTAAATTAAATTTAAAAAAAACATTAAAACAATAAAATTATATTTATATATTAATAATAATGTTTAATAATAAGATTATTAGTTCATAAAACTATTATAACGATCGCAGCCTAAACTGAACCGACAGTTACCGCTAACCATATAAAGTATACCATTGATGAACTGTCGGGCACCGGTACTTAACGGTAACGACTGTCGGCCACCGGTTTCCCAATCGATAACTAGTTTTATGATATCTGATTCCAATTGTTCGATACGTCCGATAATGTTTGTCTGCGACTCCAGTACCGAACAGTTTAGTTTAACAGCAGTTATGGCCACAGTGTTGGCCATTTGCGGCAATATCTCGGTATGAATGTCATCATCACTTATTGAACTACCGGTGCCCGTAGTTAGAGTTTGTTGTCCAATGTTGGCCATTATCTCTTTTTCAAACGAAAACAAATCGTTGACTAATACAATGTTGTCGGTCGCCAATTGAATCAATGTTTGCATACGCGGGTCCAAATAGTCGGGCTCCGGTAGCTCAAACTTGTTGGCATAGTCCAGGGTTAGTGTAGTTGGTATTACACCAGCAGTTTTGCGGCGATTCTAATAATAATAGTATATATTAAGTATATATATTTTTTTATTAAGTATAGTAAATGTGTGTGTGTGTGTGTGTATGTATATGTAAGTATGTGTATGTGTATGTGTATGTGTATGTGTATGTGTATGTGTATGTGTATGTGTATGTGTATGTGTATGTGTATGTGTATGTGTATGTGTATGTGTATGTGTATGTGTATGTGTATGTGTATGTGTATGTGTATGTGTATGTGTATGTGTATGTGTATGTGTATGTGTATGTGTATGTGTATGTGTATGTGTATGTGTATGTGTATGTGTATGTGTATGTGTATGTGTATGTGTATGTGTATGTGTATGTGTATGTGTATGTGTATGTGTATGTGTATGTGTATGTGTATGTGTATGTGTATGTGTATGTGTATGTGTATGTGTATGTGTATGTGTATGTGTATGTGTATGTGTATGTGTATGTGTATGTGTATGTGTATGTGTATGTGTATATGTGTATGTGTATGTGTATGTGTATGTGTATGTGTATTGTATGTGTATGTGTATGTGTATGTGTATGTGTATGTGTATGTGTATGTGTATGTGTATGTGTATGTGTATGTGTATGTGTATGTGTATGTGTATGTGTATGTGTATGTGTATGTGTAATGTGTAATCTAATACTTAAACATTACAAACCATTAGCAATTGATCTACAGAAGCGAACCGTTGATTTTTGACCTCATTTTGTTCAACATTACCGTTCACGTAGTCCAACCACGAATTGACAAAACGTGACCACTGTTGGCCATTTAATGACCGATAGATATCCGTAAATGTCGGCTCTATTACCTCAACATATGGCTCCATACAGTTGCCGCCACCGCCGCCGACACCACCGCCGACACTGTCGCCGCCGTTAGTTATGTCGGCAAATAGTTTGGCCACTTGTGACCAAACTCGGCGACATTCGTCTATATTATCGCTGTTCAATGGACCCGATGGTTCATCAGTTTTGTCGTCCATTATAAAATAGTAGATCATATGCTGTAACATATGATAGTACCTGTCCTTATCCAGACAATGGGGATAGTAATAGGCTGTACACAGTTTGGATGTCGAAACTTGTTTCAGATATTTATCGACTGATATATTGCTTGATGGGAACTGTCGGTATAGCCATCCGTGTAGTTCATCGCCGCCGACCGTAATGTCCAACGGATTACGTTTGAACGGCAATCGGATGGTCAGCTTAGGTATCGGATATCTGACCGAATAGTGGCGTAACTTTATGTCGCAAATATTGTCGCAAATGTTGTCGCAATTATTATTAGTATTATTTGTCATAATTTTTATTATATATTTTTTACTATTTTTTTTTTAATATCCTAATTATATTACTATAGTTAAACTATTGTATATAAAATTATTAACTAAACTATATAAAATAATTAACTAAACTATATAAAATAATTAACTAAACTAAACTATATAAAATATTTAACTTAACTATATAAAATATTTAACTAAACTATATATAAGTTATATGCACTTATATGCACATACAGTACAGTAAAAGTTAAATGTAAAAATTATTATTATCAAGATAACACATTAAGATAATAGTTCTTATTATATGACACCTTTACACAACAATCATATTTTATTCAAATCAAAAAAAAATATTGTTATATTTTCAATTTTTGTTGAAAGTAATGTTATTTCTATGGGAAATCAATAAATTTTTATTGAGCTCAGGCAGGTTTTAGTGACAGGTAGGTATTAGCTGTATAATTACATTTTGCTATATTGTGTGACTCACAGGGCACCGGGAGGTTAGCTACATGTGCTAAATTTTTTTTTTTCAAATGCAATTTTTATTGAAATTATTATATATATATATACTGTTGAGGAAATCAATATTCAATTTTAATATAATTATATTATTTTAATCTTTTTGATTTTAACTTATTTTGATTTTATATGTAAACCTATTTATATGCTTTTAATCCTTTTCTTTTGAATTGTTGATCGATTTGATCGATCAATACCTACCTATTCCTAGAAGTGATCGCTCAATGGTTGTCTTCATGGCACCAGTAGATCGATCACTGACCTCACATATATACAGCCAACCAATAGCTACTCTTTATACACATACACCTATCGGTTCTCAAATACAGTATAAATACTGCTGTATTCATAGTCTACTCTCTCACTTACTACTTGATTCTCACTACAGTCAGTCACTGTTACCTATACTGCCCAGTCAGTACATACCAGCCTTCAGTGCCACTCTTACCATTACTCCATTACACATATCCATGTGCTCGGATAGTCACACTATCCATACCATTTAAACCATTATTTTAACTATCATATAAATTGTGATTATAATAAAGTATTATATCTGAAAGTGTGTCTCAATTATTATCTTAAGTACACATCACCGGATCGATCACCATATCTACCATTCCTTCATCGCAATCATTGGCTGATCGATCAACACTTTCAGACTACCACTTCACTGGCCATCCAATAGTGATAAAAGTTATCAATAGTACTACGGATCGATCCCCTGGCCTACACTCTGGTTACCACTACTGCAGATCTGTATATCACTTTGATTGACACATAAAGTGCCTCTCAAGTGATCACTATATCAGTTGATTAGTTTTTGACCGATCAATTGATATCGTTGTTGTTAGCGATTTAGTTTTTGGTCTCATACCGACACACGCTAGACGACTGATCCCTAACAGCCACACAACAATACAAATGTCTCAATTTTCTTAAAAGTTTAGACAAATTTATGTGTATTTGTAAGTAGTTTGTTGTATAAAACAAATTAGTTAGTCATTCAAATTACTTATGATTAATATTTAAAAATTAATTTAAAAAAATTGCACTGCTATACATGTTTCGCGGGATAAACTAGTTATTATTAAAATTATTACAAACAGAAAAAAATAATAAATATCTAAAAATTAATTATAAAATATGTTGTGCAATAAATACAGATTATATAAATTTTGTAATTTTTTTTGTATTATAATTTCCGTTAATAAACAGATGGTCACTGATTCATATATTAAAAAAATTAACGACAAAAATACTTGACAAGGTTATTTGTGTAATAACTTATTTTTTTTGTTTAAAAAAAGTAATTAAAAGTTTAAATAAATTTAATACATATAATTTTCTGGTACTATGGGATGTTTATTAGCATTATTAGCAGAGATATAGTCTAAAAAAATAAAAGTGTCAAGGTATTTTTTGAATGAGATTAGTCAACTATTATTATTATTATTATTGGTTCTCTTTATACAGAATAATTTAAATAGTCCATTTGCAATTTTTTAATTAGAATTTTTAGATTTTTGTTTTTAAAAAAATATTAAATAAAAAACATTTTACCTAATTATATAATTTTGATAATAAATTTTAATAATGATATTTGTTACTAAATTTGTATCATAGAAGAAATGTTTTTTAATTTAATATTTTAACCAAAAAAAAAAATACTAAACATAACAAAATTATTTTTTGCACTTTTATTTTTTGGACCATATATTACAATATTGTAATACAATTGCAGTACAATATTACAATTTTAAATATTTTTTGAGATATCGAATTGAGATATGTATTATTTAAAATTTTATTACTTTTAATGTTATAGGCACACAAAAAAAACCGTGCCAAGCACTTTTGTCTCATATTATATATAAAAATATTTTTTATTATTAAAAAAAAATTATTTATAAAATATAAAATAAAACTATTTACAAACAAAACTTTGTTTTGTATTTATTAATTATTTTTTGTGTGTACAGTAGTTATGATTGTTTTCCTAAAAGTTTATCTTAGATTTTATTAAATTAAAATATATGTATAAATAAAATAATACTATTTAATAATAATCAAACAAACTTTTTTTAGAAAAAGTTTACTGTAATGTATAAGTGTGTGTATATGTATGTGTATGTGTGTGTGTGTGTATGTATGTGTATGTATGTGTGTGTGTATGTGTTTATGTATGTGTGTGTGTATGTATGTGTGTGTGTATGTATGTGTGTGTGTATGTATGTGTGAGTATGTGTGTGTGTTTGTATGTGTATATATGTGTGTGTATATATGTGTGTGTATGTATGTGAGTGTGTGTTTATTTTTTATAAATCTATATTTTGACACATGACTATAATTTAATTTAATTTGTTTTTCTGAATCATTTGATACCCACATGACTATAGTTAATTTATTTTCTCATACTGATTTTTTAAATACCCCACATGACTATTGTTGAATTTATTTTGTTATTTGGAATCTATTGATACCCCACATTCCTATAGTTGAATTTATTTTGTTGTACTGAATCATTTGATAGCACAAGTTTATATTTATATTAGAACATATAATTTTTTGCCATCAAAGTTTGTTTCTGGTAATGCTTTTATAGCATTCTTAACTGGTTTTTGATTTATTTTCAATAAATAGTTTATATTTTTGAAATTATTACACTTCATTAACCCTATAAAAGTACATGTATATTTTTAAAACATGTGTTCGCACTTGAGGGGAGGGAGGGGGTTATCCAAAGCGAACTTTTGTGAATAAGGGGGAGGGGATGGGGTAGAGACTTTAAGAACGTTTGCATTTAGATAATATTTTATTTCTTGTAGTGTGGGGTGGGGTGGGTGAGGAGGGGGGGGTAGCGGTCATGTACATGCGAACATAATATTTTGAATAAATGACTACATGCGAACATTTGCTAACATTGGGAAGTGAGGGGGTCTAGTGCGAACGTAATATGTGAGCAGCCCCATTATCATATTTTAATAATATATACAGTATATATAATATTAATACCTGTTTTTACTAGAAATAGTGTAGAAATACTGTATAATAATATTTATAATACTAATACTGTACTAATAATACAAATTTATTTGAATTATTACTTATATAATTAAATTATAATTTTTTTTAAAAAAATAACTAAATATTTAATTATATAATTATAGAATTCCAGTGTATTTTTTAATTATATATCAATTTTATACATTAAACTAATAATAATAATTATTATAAAAAAATGTCAGCAAATTATTTATTTGAATTTATTATAACGATCGCAACCAATACTAAACATATAGTTACCGCCGGCCATATAAAGTAGGCCATTGATGAACTGACGGGCACCGGTACTTAACGGTAACGACTGGCGGCCACCGGTTTCCCAATCGATAACTAGTTTTATGATTTCTGACTCCAATTGTTCAATAGTATCGATAATGACTGTCTGTGCTTCAACTATAGGACAGTTACGCTGGACAGCAGTTATGGCCACAGTGTTGGCCATTTGCGGCAATACCTGACGATCAGCATCATCACTACCGGTGCCCGTAGTAGTAGTAACAGGTAGTTGTCCAATGTTGGCCATTAGCTCTTTTTCAAACGAAAACAAATCGTTGACTAATATAATCTGGTCGGTTGCCAATTGAATCAATGTTTGCATACGCGGGTCCAACCAGTCGCGCTCCGGTAGCTCAAACTTGTAGGCATAGTCCAGGGTTATTGTCGTCGGTATTACACCAGCAGTTTTGCGGCGATTCTAATAATAATAATAATAATAATATATTAAGTATATATATTTTTTATTAAGTATAGTAAGTATGTGTAGGTATGTGTAAGTATGTGTGTGCCTCTGTATGTATCTATGTATATGTGTGTGTGTGTATGTATGCGTGTGTGTGTCTGTGTGTGTGTGTATGTGTGTGTATGTGTGTGTATGTGTGTGTATGTGTGTGTATGTGTGTGTATATATGTGTATGTATGTATGTATGTGTATGTATGTGTATGTATGTGTATGTATGTGTATGTATGTGTATGTATGTGTATGTATGTGTTTGTATGTATTTGTATGTATTTGAATGTATTTGTATATATTTGTATGTATGTGTAAGTATGTGTAAGTATGTGTATGTATGTGTTTGTATGTATTTGTATGTATTTGAATGTATTTGTATATATTTGTATGTATGTGTAAGTATGTGTAAGTATGTGTATGTATGTGTTTGTATGTATTTGTATGTATTTGTATGTATTTGTATGTATTTGGATGTATTTGGATGTATTTGTATGTATGTGTAGGTATGTGTAGGTTGTATGTATGTGTTTTTGTCTCTGTATGTATGTATGTATGTGTGTGTGTGTGTTTCAGTCTATATATTTATTTTTAATAAAAAATAAATATCTTATGAGTAAAAATCATTACATACTTTAAGTAATTGATCCACAGATGAAAACCATCGGCCATTGTAAGCATTTTGTTCGACATTACCGCTCCCGTAGTCCAACCAGTTGTCGACAAAACGACGCCACTGTTGACTAGTGAATGACCGATAAATATCGGTAAATGTCGGCTCTATTTGACTAACATAGGGCTCTACCGCCGGTACTTGACTACCAATACTACTACTGCTGTTACTGATTTGGTCACCGTTACTGCCATCGCTGCCGTTACCACCTATACTGGCCACTAGTTTCGGTACCTGAGACCAAACACGGCAACATTCATCCCAATTTTCGATACCTAACGGACCGGCCGGTTCATCGTTTTTGTCGTCCATAATAACAAAATAGACCATAAACTGTAACATATGACAGTAGCGGTCCCTGTCCTCGCACAGCGGATAGTAATAAGCGGTAGCTATTTCGGCACTGAGAACCTGTCGCCGGTAGTCATTGTCCGCTAGATTACTGGTCGGAAACTGTCGGTATAGCCACCGGTTTAGTTCATCGTCGCTGACAGTTAGGTCCAACTGATTACGTTTGAATGGCAATCGGGTCGTAGTCTTAGGTATCGGATATTTGATGGCAAAGTGTCTTAACTTTATGTCGCAAATGTTGTGCACTTGTATTATACTATTATTATTATTAATATCTTTCATAATTTTTAGTGATTTTTTATATATATACTGTTTAATGTATTAATTTTTATAAACTTTTAATAAAACTTTATAACTAAACTTATAGATACAGTATATACCGGTATATATATACCAAAAAAAAATTTTATGTCTAATATTTTATGCCTAATTATTTTATTTTATTAATTTTTTATTTACAAATTAACAATAAAATGTCTACCAATTAATTATAAATATGTTTTGTTGTTATGTAATAAATTTATATACTTTATAACTTATTTATTTTTTTTAAAAATATATAGATTTCCGCCAAACATAAAAAAAACATATGGACATTGATTTTATTGATTTTATTTAAAAAATTATATACAGTATAAACCTATGAAAATATATCTATTTTCTTTAAAATACATGTACATTAAATCTTATAGTTAATTTATTTTATTTTTTATATTTATAAATGTTATTTAAAATATATTAAATAAAATTATTTACAATTAAAAAATTTGTTTTGTATTTATTTTTATTATTTTTTATGTGCAGTCAGTAATCATTGTTTTCAAACTAAAATTTACATTTAATTATAATTTATATAAAAATAAAATAATATATATTATTTAATAATAATTTTATTTATTTATAATAATTGTTTTCTAATATATATTTTTTTATTTCAAATTACATGTATATTAATAATTAAAAAAATGTATAAAATGTATATAAAATATGTTAGTTTGTATCTAAAATATTATTACTAAAATTTTTTTACTTTAAAAAAAATTAAATAACAGGATATGTGTTAATTTATAAATTATTAGAAAAATATTATATATTTAAAAAAAATTTATACAAAATTATTAAATTAGGAAATATTTGTTTAAAAAAATGTTTTGAAACAACAACTATAAATTAATTATGAAATAAATTATATGATGAAACATATATTATATATTGAATATACTGTATATTTGTTTTTATTTAGTATATTAATATTACAAATTAATTATTAAAAAAAATTTAAAAAATGAATTTTTAATATTATTTTTAATTATTATTTTATAAAACTATAATAGTAGTATCAAGCACAATTGAGTTTTATAATAGAGTTAATTTTATATTATCCTGGTAATTAATTAATTAATTAAATAGTTATAAATACAACCAAACAAATAAAAAAATAACAACAAATAGATATAAAAAAAAGTTTTGTATAAAAACAATATAATTATTTCATATTATTATTAGTAGTATTCAAAATATAATATAAAAATAATAAATATGTTTAAAATGGAAATAATAATAATAATAATAATTAACAATAAACTTTAGGTTTGTTTAACTAAACTTAAAAATATTGTTTAATAATTTTTATGATTATCTAATCAAATCAAATAACATTTATTTTCATAGACTTGATGGACATCAAACCTAATTGAACAAACAATTAGCAAATAAACCCTAAAAGTTGATCACCAAAAAAGTGGGACTTGATTTTTTGTGTAATAATAATACTGTAGTAATAATATATTGAAAGTTAAATTGAAAATTTTGTATTTTATTTTATAACAATTGTTTTTTTTGAAATTATTATTTTTAATACATATAAAACTACATTTATATATATATATATTATACTAATACTTGTTGTTATCATACATATACTGTATTATAGTTTCTAGTTTTATATACAGTGTATATATATTGATTTTATTGAGGTTAGTGTACACATTAAATATGTTTGTGTGTATATACTGTATATGTTTTTATCAGGAGTTGATAAACTGTTATCACTAATAATTATTATTATTAACTATTATAAATATATATATGATAACTTAAACAACACAATGTATAATACACACACATACATACACACACACATATACATGCACAAACATACACATACATACACATACATACACACACACACAAACATACACATATACACACATACACACACATACACACACATACACACACATACACACACATACATACACACACATACACACACATACACACACACACACACACACACACACAWACACACACACATACACATACATGCACACATACATACACACATACATACACACACACATACACAAACATACACATACATGCACACATACATGCACACATACACATACATACATACACACTTACATACACACACACATACACAAACATACACATACATGCACACATACATACACACACACATACACATACATGCACACATACATGCACACATACATACATACACACTTACATACATACGCATACATGCATATACATACACACACAGTTTAAATGTATATATTTATATATTGTACATATATTTGATAAAATGTATATAAAAATTGATAAATAATAAATGTTTTTAAAAAAAAATTTCCACTACTTTAATAAATATTAGTTAAATGTACATTTTATAAATATAATATAAAACCTAGATTATATACCCTGTATTATTGATATTGACTGATATTTTTATTTTTGTTGTAGTAGTTTGTTATATTGACTTTTAAATTTCCAATAATGTATAATTATATTCAATACAATATTATAACAAAAATCACAGTTTATGTTTGTGTGTGTGTGTTAACTGTGTTTAACTAATTGATATACATATGTATAATACATGTCMAATATATATGTATAATACATGTATAATACAACCCAACAACAAAAAAATCATATAAAAAAAAAATTTTAAAAATCAAAACTTCAAAGCTTACCATTTTTTTTTGTGTGTGTGGATGACTACTACCACCATCTGAGACACGATGATGACCAGTCAGTGCGATATACAGACATCAATAATCACCAGTAGATGTCCGCCACCGACGTCGCAGTCGACGCCGTCTAATGACTCGTTCGACCGGTTCGGCGACGACTTGTGTCGGCTATTGTTATCCTATCTGACACTCGAAGATCGTTTCCGCTATGAATGTCTGTCCCGGTTGTGGCGCCGATCGGTATTCAGCGGCCAACGAGAACTGGTAGTCGACTGGGAACTGGTGGACAAGTGGTCGCGTCGATCGCGACTTCGGCGCCAGTTCTACGACTTTCAACGACTGGCCGTATTGACCACAAAGTGCTGCCACATTCGATCGGTAAAACTCATGTGCGACGGTATTGATCCGGCAATTGTCGACCGTATTATGGATCTGGTGGTCAACAACAGTGCCGACAGGGGTCGGCTAATCAACTCATTGGAAATACAGTGTTGTCAGACACGACTGCCGCCCGATCTGCGGCTACTGATCCATCAGATCAGTAAATTTCAACGTCTGACACGTCTGGTCATCGATTGCCGATCGACTACACCGTTCATATCGTCCAATCCGTGCGCCGATGTCCTGCCGAAAATGGCCGACAAGTGTCCAGATATACGGCAACTGTCGATTCGCGTACATTGTTTCGATCGGTCAGATGTTGTCAATATTGTACGCGATGTTCAACTGTTTCCCCGATTAGCTGACCTACAGTTAGCCCTCTATACGACTACCGGCGACGAACAAGTTTCGGTCCAATCGTTGGCCAACTGTCCCGGACTTCGACACTTGTCGCTCGAGTGTCTCGAAGATATGGATTTCGCTGATGTCGACAAAGTTAATCGACAATTGAAACGACCGGCCAGTGTCACCAAAGTAGATCCGCAACAGATATTAGGATTATAAATGATTTGTTTGTTTTGTGTTTTTTTTTAAATTAATTAATTAATTAATAGTAGTTTTGAATTGATTTTGATTTTTTTTAGATGACTTCAACAAAATTAGGAAAAAAAGTTTTTTACTATTATATTGTAATTTTAAGTTTTTTTTCGTAAACTATAATAATAATAATAATTGATTAGATATATTGAATATTAAGATTTATTATTATTATTATAAATAAAATATTTATATTAATTGTAGTAAAATATGTCTCAACTAATTACAAACTATATGTTATAAAACTGCATACAATTACAAAAATGTATTAATTTTTAATTTTTTTTTTGACAAATTATTAGATAATAATAATAATAAAGTTTATAAAAGTTTTTTTTTGTGGAAAACTATTGATATTGAAAAATAAAAATTTATTTTTTTGTTTTAAACTTTTAGATTTTTGGATGAAATATTAATAAATGTTTTAATTACTAATACATTACTAATAAATAAATATTATAATAGTTTAATGATTATGCAGTGATTAAAGTGTATTTTTTATAATTATAAAAAAATACATTAGTAATATACAATGTATAAAACATTAGTATTAGCTAGGTAATTAATAGTTTAGTTAAAGTTAACTAGATGACTTATCATCATAAATTACATTATGTAAATGAGTTTTCAATTATATTTATCTTTGATTATAATTAGTTAGTAATTAATAATAGTAATTAATAACAATTAGTTTAAATGCAAACTACGATAAAAAAACAATATTAAACTATTTTATTTATTTTAAAAAAAAAAATATTTGTTTCAATGTTTTTATGTAATTTAAATCACATACATATGAAATAATACACAATTTAAACCTAATGTTATTATTAATTAATATTTTTATTATTTTTTTTTAAAAAAAAAGCTTAGAAATAAATAAAACATTTTATTTTGAACTTTGGATAAAATGTTTATTAGTTTTAATTTTTTTTTTTGTAAATATATGATTAAATTATATTAATTTATATATAAACAGTAATATTACTTATAATGTTTAAAATAATTTAAAATAGTTTAGTATTTAAATAGTTACTTATAAAATGACTTATAATATAATATTTATTACTAATTAAATAGTATTATTATACTATTAGTATATATTATATAATACTATAATATTACCTAACATACATAAGTAATGTCGTTATTATTATACAGAAAGTAACGTTATTTTTGGATGGCACAAAGCATTGAAAAAAATTATTTTCATTTAAAAGTTTAAAAATAGATAGTTAAATTTTAATTATGTTGTTTTAAATTATTATTTTTCTTTATCAA